AGTTTGAGCATTTCAAGCCTATTTTTCATTCAATATTCATTTTGCTTTCAAAGAACACTTATTGTGCTCAATTTTATTTATTCTTGAGTGTTCTTTCTTTGTTCTAGAATTGGGCAAACACATTTGCCTTGTGAGGTTTTTCTTGTAAGTTTGCAAATTTGTATTTCTCTTTGAGAAAAGAGTGTTCTCAAGAATTGGGGTATATTCTTGAGGGAGTTGTAAGGTTATCTCTTTGGCCTCAAAAGAAAGAACAAATTAGTGAATTTGTTGGAAAATCCTTAGTGTGGATAGCTAAGGTAGTGGATGTAGACTTTGGTTGATAAAGTCGAACCACTCTAAATCGATGTGCAATTTCTTTCAATTTTTTGCAAAAGCTTCCACAAAAATTTTTATTGCCAATTCACCCCCTCTTGGCTGATTCAGTCAATCGATTAACTCAACATATATCTTCTCTTAAACATTCAAATCCTTATCTCACATACACATACTTAAACTTATTTATATCCCTTTAAAATAATAATTTTTTTCTTCTTCAATTTTCATAACTTCTAACAGAGCTTTTAACCCAATTTACAAAGATTGTCTTTAACCCTGACTTATCATCAATTAACTCCTTATTTAATATTCAAATATCAGACCCTACCGCTTTAGTCTGTCTGACTCTCATCTAATTTGATTCTCTGGCAGAGAATGCAACTAATTCATATCTGGTTTGAAGTTGAAAGTTAGAATCTCTATCTTTCTTTAATGGTGCTTAACTCTATTAAACACTAATTCTCTTAATCATCTGAAATTTTTTGTTCTCCAATCCTTTTATTCTTAGCTCTCTATAGAATTTTAACGCGATTAATCATTTCTTGAATTGAGAACAATTTCAAAACCAGTAACACTCTTTTTAATTTAAGGCGCAAGCCCTAAACAACTAATTGCATGTTCTTCCTTATCCTTCCTAATCAAAATTAACACAACAATAAATTTGTTTAACTTATTAAACTTATACTCATACATATGCATGTGTAACTTCTTTGTTAATCTCATATATTCAATCTTCATTTGTTTTATGAACTGATCATTCATGTACTTATTCATAAATTCTTCTACAAATGATAACCACGTCACTTGATATTTTAACATTCTTATGGTGACATTTATTGACCATACTTCTAGCTTACCTACGTAGTAATAAAACTACTCAATTTAACTTCTCCACTTTGGAGAAATGAAAATTTTCTAATATTATCTTCCTACCATTTAATCAAATTTCCATAACAATGGAACATTTCTCAAATTCACCCTTAAACTCGGGTGTTCTCAACTCTTTTCAATACATTAATTCTATGAATTATAGAAGTATAAAATTAAAACACATCATAATATCATTCAACATCATGAATCACTCTTTAATCTTATACATGCATTCCTTGAGGTTTTCGCTCTTCTCCCTGCCTGGCCAGGGCAGGTGAATGCTATTAACTTCAGGTCTATCACCTTGTATTTCACTTTAGAAACTCTTATGATCATATATCTAATATAACATAGTATTTTAATTTTATTAGCAAGACAATACACTTACTATTCCATCAGATCAAAAGTTTTCACTATTTTGTTGGCATGTTTACCTTATAAAACACTCTAGACTCCGGTTTATGCCGAGAATCGACTAAACCTTAGCTCTGATGCCATTAACTGTAACACCCCAACCCGTACCCGACCCAAATACGAGTCTAAGGTGTCACATTGACTTTTCAAACCTTGACACTTAAAGAAAAACCCCGGGGAATTTAAAACTTTGTTTAAAACAAAATACTTTAATTTACATAAAAGAGACCACAAACTACAAACTTAATCAGAGTACTCATAATTAACGACTTATTACATGCCAACACTCTATACACAACAAAATACATACTTTGTCGATTACTTCTGATCCGATCTTCTAGTAATAATATTGTCCTTGCTACTTCTATTCTTGCTCTTCACGTTTCTTGGTACCTACGTGTAAATCACTTACACGCTAAGTCATAGACTTAGTGAGGCAATAAATAAACATTTAACAACCAATTCATGAATATGCATTCTTATCATTTGATCATGACATTTCAACATGCATGTATCTATTACACGATAACATATATATAAACATGTCATGTACATGTAAAACTTAACTTCTTGTGCCACTTTCACTTTAATTTATCTTTTAATTGTATTGCCCATGTATATTATTGAGAATAGAGGTATGCGAGTACACTGAGGTTGTGCACACATATGCTGTCACCACAGCTCGTATAAATGTCCCGAAGAACCTATCATCCCGAAGGATGTCATCTGTGTCCCGAAGGACCTGTCATCCTGAAGGATGTAATCTGTGTCCCGTAGGACCTATCATATGTCTTATAGGACATATGTAACCCTCGACTCTTGGCATGCCAACTATACCTATAACTCTCGTATCATATACTATGGGCATTTATTATGAATACATTTCTCATCACTTGTTCTTTCTCTTCTATCACATACCACATGTATGTGTAACCATGTATTTCATATCATATCACATGTATCACGTATTACATATTCATATGTCATTTCATATCATATCACATGTATCACGTATTGCATATTCATATATCATTTCATATAGTCACATAGCTTATCTCATTTCACATTGGTCATGTCTTATAACATATATCACATATGCATATTATGTAACATATATAATAACCTATACTCATTTCATGTATTCATGCACATATAAGAATCACCAATCAAATAACATTTTAGGAGTCACTTCTTACCATAGTAACTCCATCACTGACTCATCGCAAGCCAATGTTCGTTCAATAATATAAGTATAATTAAAATTATACTCACCTTAGCCTTGTTTGATTTGAATCAATTTTAATCCTTTGATTATTCCAGAACTTGTTTAGGCTCAAAATCTACATAAATATAACATTTCAAAACAACTATCAGAAGCTTAAACCTTAACATTGATGTTAACAACTTAAGCCATATTATTGAACCAAATTTCATTTTTCCTTTAGGGGGAATCGATTCCCCCCCGGGGGAATTGATTCCCCCCCAGGGGAATCGATACCCCCTGAACATACTGGAAATTTTTCGTTTAAGAAGGGGAATCGATTCCCCTTCATAGGTATCGGTTCCCTCTGCCCAGAAATTGTACTTTAAGCCCTAAAATCATCAATTCCTCACTCAATTCTTATATTAGCCCTTTTCATGACATTAAACTCAACTACCATTACTTAAACCAACTTACATCCATGAAAATCATCTATAACTTCAAAATTATATCCCTCATATGTAATTCAAGAATCATACTAAATTTTCCATATTATCCAAACTTAATTCCAACACTTCTATCTTCTTATTCTCATATATGACAAGTCAAATTCAACTTAAAATTCAAACTCATCAACTCTATTTCAAATTTCATTCAAAAACTCAAAATCTTTAATCTCTCCTATACCTTTTATCTTGTTGTTTTTAGAACGAATTAAGCTTTCCTTAAGCTTAATTATCATCTAGTGATCAAAACCTAACCTTTAATTTAACAAATAATCAACAACTCAGAAAACCCTTACCTTTGCCTAGCTTCCACAGTTGGGAGAAGAAGAAAGGAAGAAGAAAGAGTTTTCAGATAACTCTTTCCCCCCCCCCACGTGATTCATTCATATTATTGGGGGAAAATATCTTTCATGCTAAATGACCATTTTGCCTTTTAATTCTTTGGAAATTACTATAAACTTTTAGGAATATTTTCGAACAAATCATTGAACTATTCAATCATCTTACTTTAATCACCAATTCTGAAACTTTACAATTTAATCACTACCCGTATTTTGGATATTACAGTTTTTGCCACATTTTAGTTAAATCACTAGGTCGACCCTTTTTTGTTTCTTCATTCGGCTGCATGTTCAGTTTTATCTTATTTTAGTCACTTGTTTATAAAGTTTATTTACTTTATGTATTCATGTTATGGTTTGCCATTTATATATTTACATTTTAAGCCATATTATGATATTTATATACATGTATCATGTTTCAAATATACTCATGCATTAATATTTTTTATTTTTATTTCGTGCACATGTTGTATCATATGTAATATATATATATATATATATATATTTATTTATTAAATTTATGTTATGTACTTGTATTCATATATGAAAATATATTATAAATGTTTATTCATTTCATTAAATACGATTTATTTTATTTGTAAAATATATAGTTGTCAATATTTTTTCGAATATTCTCAGAATAACGATTTGTAGAATGGGCATGGAAAACATCGCTTGATCGAAGTGGTGTAATCCGATATGACATTTGAACAAATGTGAACTTGAAATAAAATTGATTTTATTTTTCTAATTAATTCTTTTTTATTTTAAGTTAAATAATGCGATGGATGTTACCAAAAACGATGCATTTTATGCGAAGATCGATTTTCTTTTATATTCGATTCACGTTTTTTAAACATTAATGAGGAGCGAATTCTTTATAAATTAGAAATAGTCGAGTTAGCTTTCCTGATGGAGGATTGTTAATTTTGAGTTTTCCTTTCGAGTTAAAGAATTTCTCTAATTAATTAATTTGAAGCAAATTAATCAATGTTCATAAATGGATCATATTTTTAAACTTTATTCGATTCATGAATTTCACCATTTACGACAACGTGTAAGCGATTTTAGTACCAATTTTGGCATTGTGGGGTGCTCACCCTTCCCCATACGTAACCGACTTCCGAACCCGTTTTAATCGAATCTTTGATAACGCAGACCAGTTTTGTCTTATAAAATGATTTTTTCTTAGAATTTTTAAAGACGATTTTATGTATTCGACTTATCTAACCCAAAGGTCGATGACGACTCCTTTTCTATTTTTATTCAAATCAATTCAAATCACCCAAATTTCCAAATTAAGTCATAACCGTTTTTAAAAACCATGAATAATGGTTTCACCTAAAAATTGTTATGACACCTATAAAATAATATAAAATCAGTAAGTAGAAGTATAAAAACCATGTACGTGCAATCCATGCCAGTGATAAAGCATCTGCAATCATGAAACACAATTAAGTTTATCAAGCTAGAAATAAAACATAGAACGAACAATCATTATAAAGTTTGTGTACCGGAATATCAGTGAAAGAGCCACAAAAGCTGGATGTGAAGCATAGAACAGATACAGTGGCCAAACCTGCAACCTACAGAAACCATATATCAACATAACATCATGAAATAAACAAGATACAGATGTATGATAACTATAAAGCCACCGTACTTTAACAAATATAACAAGTATCAAATCTGAACATAAAGGCCAAGGACGGTATATCTTCAAGCTTGAGACCTAAATGACAAGACTATTGACAACGACACAAAGAATGAAGGGTAGTATGACATACCTTCCAGATCTCAGATGAAGCTCTTTCAGATCTAACATTCTTCATTTTCCTACACAATAGGAGTCCTGATAACGCGAGAGAAAGAAATAGGCAAAAATATGAGTATCCCTAAGAGAGGACAGAATATGTGAGATAAATGAGTCTGTCAGAGCAGCCTAGTAGTAGTGGTGATGGTGGTATTCTCATTTGTTTAGGAGTCTTATGATAAGAAGATAAATCTTATGAGTTTTTGTAATCTAGAATCTAGATAGAAATTTATCTTTAAAGTCCTATTAGAAGTCGGCTACTCATAATCTCCTACTTCAGAATCAGATTTTCTAGCATTAACTCCATTATTCTCTCCTTCTCTCTCGATTTTCTCTTAGATTACAACAGAGTCATCTACTTTGCTGAAAAAAAGTATGAACTACTCAATCAATCACAAAGACTAATCAGCAAAATTTTTCAGGCACTTAGGTCAGCCTTGATGATATCACACATTTAACTGGAAGTGGCAAGTAATCTAAGCATGCATGCTGTTGGATATTAGGGATGGAAGTCTAACAAATATGACTTCTACGTCATATGAGAAGAAATGAGCATGTCTAGTTAAACTGATGTTAGACAAATTTTTGCCATCAGAAAGTTATCACAATAGGGACAATTTCAAACAATGTGAAAAAAGCAGAAATCATGAAAAAGGAAAAGTCCATATAAAATGCTAGTTGTTCACCATAACATGCTAGAGCTCCACCGAACAATAATAGTGCTGCAGCAGAAAGATCTATATAAACCTGCATGAGATAGACAGCCATTACTTCGGACTTGTAATAATAAAAGAACATCAAGAAATTTCACAACACAAATTTTATGGTTTTTTTTTCATTTTCCAACCAATAAATTAAAGGGGGAAAATTGTAAACACTATATCCACTTAAACATTCTCTATGACTGTCAAAGACTAAAAGATGGTACTCTAGGAAAATAACAATAGTTAAAATGAAAATAGTACTTAGATTTTCATACTTGAGCCACTGTTGACGAATCAATAGGATTATCTTCCATTCCTATCCATATTAGCACAGAAAAATCATCATTAAAAGAAATACAAGAACAGTAACCTGGTCAGAGAAAAAATGAATTAATGAGTTCATACAAAAAAGTATTATAGAAACTTTGAAACAATTACACATGGAAACCATGATAAAAAACAAAGAAGAAATTATATCCCTTTACCAGAATCACAATTTTTGATGACTTCCAACATGAATTAAACGGAAAGGATAGCATATTCTGGGTCTATCTGCGATTGATGACCTCGGTCTATTTAAAGAATTTTGTAATAACGCTTCTTCAAGACCCTGTTCTTCCTCTTCATCATCTGCCTGGTGGCAAAGGTCGACCCTAAAAAATTCAGCCACAAAGACAAGGGAATAGCTGATGAAGACAAACTACTTTTCACTCTAAAAGAAAATATGAAAACTTGGAAGGAACTAAAACAGTAAAAGGTTTTAGCCTGATTTATGGAACACTAAGCTCGAGTACCATTGCATTGGATTGGATGCACTGGGAAAAGAAAAAGAAAGCTTGCCCGTATAATGATTGATTAAGAAATGATGATTTAGAGTCAGCAACTAAAGCCGATCTCCCTTTGCTTTTTTTCTATTTCCTTTCTCGAAAATGAAAATGAAAAGTGCATATCTTAATTCATGTAATATCTCCAGTTTTTTGAATTTTTTTAATGGTTTACATGATCATATTCACTGAATAAAAATATAAATAAGTTACTTAAAAGAGAAGACATATCAGAATGACAAAAGCAAGAGAAATGTTGAAAAGAATAAAATTCTGGGGAGCGCTGCAACACACATATTTGCACTAGTTAATGCATAAACAAATCTGCCGCAGGGACAAAAAAAATGTTTCATTATGAGAATCTAAGCATACCCATGGCTATAAAACCACAAGAGAACGACCAGCATAGCCACCCTCTGCAAGCAGCAATGAGAGTCATTTTCCAACGTCTTTTTTGTTAAAACAATTTTAAATCTCATAAAATTAACACACTCAAAATCCATGGTTTCGGGAGTTCGGGAATTTTCTTGGATTTGAAGGATTTTGTGTGTTTATTTTAAAATTCGAACGATGAAAAGTATTCTTTCGAGAAGAGAAGCAACATAACTCGAACTAGCTTCATCGAAAGATCGTTAGAGGAGATTGTAGTATTAAAACATCAAACATTTAGGTATATTTTCACCGATATTGAGTGAGTTTAGTGGAAAGCTAAACAAAGAGAAATTAAATGTGAACGTTCTAGTAAATATCTTGTCATGAATTATGACTATGACGGGCAACGAGTGACCGAAACCGATGAACAAAAAAGTTGATTTTCTACATGGAACAAATTGATTAATAAATTAAAGATTAGTGCCTAAAATAAAACATTTTAAATTTAATGACAAATTAATATACGAACTAATGTTTACGAGAAGAAACAGTCACATTATCACATCATTAATGACTTAACGTGAAAATTTCTTAATTAAATCCGAAACTAATGTTTGAAACTAAAACTATAGTAGGTTCGAGTTCAATAATAAAAAAATAATACATAACTTAAATTTTAATGATATTTGAGATAATTTATTTATTTCTTTTTAGTTATCCATCTTGTCATCCTCATCAAAATAGTAATTACCTCTAAAAAAAAAACACTAAATAAAAAAGTTAAATTTGGGAATTTTTATGCATAACGTCTTATTCGTATACATTAGATAAATTGATTCTCTACTGTTTGTAAACTAGCTGTTTACTTGTAATTTTCTTTTATGCTTTTATGCTTTTATGGAATGTAAATCCATAGTTAAATCATATATTAAATCAAGGGAGCCCATTACATGAACAAATACGATTAATACCAACCCCAAAACAGATATATGCCAAGTCATCAATTTTGCAATCGTTTTGGAATTTGTTCTTCAAATATAGAAATGTAATCATCCCAAAACCCTAAATTGGAAGGAAGAATCGAACACAGAAAGTTGATATTTTGCCTAAATCTTCCGTGTCCCTGCAAATACGTACAATGTATTCAATAATCCAAATCTGATTTATATAAAATGCAGCATTCATAGCGTCAACAAACCCGATCAAGGAGGCAATATTTGTATAGGATCGATGAGCGAGTTATAAATAACGAATTCAAGAAGCAAATTTAACTGCATAATCCGAGATAAAATTAAACTCAGTTACAAACCTTGTTTCTTGCTTCATTTGTGCTTGAATCTACCATCAATGACAAGCTCAGGTAAGAAAACCATGGGAAGAAAAAAGATTGACATGAAGATGATTGAAAAAAAAAGAGGACAGATTAATCACTTTCTCCAAACGTCGATCTGGTATCTACAAGAAAATAGGTGAGATTGCCATATTATGCGGTGTTGATGTTCTTTTTATCTGCTTCTCACCAGCAGGTAAACCCTTTTCTTTTAGTCACCCCTCAATGGAATCAGTTGCTAGTCGCATTATGGGTCCTAGTTTTCTACCTCCACGTGATAATACTCACACTCTTGTTGAGGATCAACGAAAGGCCAGAGTCAATCAGATCATACAGCAATTTAATGTGGTGGCTAGCAAACTCAATGCAGCCAAGAGAAGGAGAAGGTGCTTGCTCGGCATGAAGGAGAGAGAAGCTAATTATTGGTGGGAAACTCCCATCGATCAACTTAACCCCAAGGAGCTAGAAGAACTAGAGCTTCGTTTTGCAGAGCTTCTCGAGCTCTACATCAGCAGGAGCAAGAAGATTGCAGCCACTACTTTAATGCCTACTCCAAGGGATCCTGCTCAGTTCAATCCATCTACTCCAAGGGACTTTAACTGAGTATTGCATCCTAGTGTCTGGAAACTTGATTTTCAAATTTATACTTGTATTTAAGTATTTTAAATCACTGTCAAATAAGTATTCATAATTGAATTTTGAAGAAAATGCATTATTTATATATATATTAGCAATTAAGTATCCATTGAATTGTCAAGGTTTTGACATAAAGCAATTTCAATACATTGATATTACTTAAATTAGCTTAGAATTGGTTGGTTTTAGAATCATAGATTGACTTAACATTAAAGACTATTAAATTATGCCAACAACAAAAATGATAAAGTTTCTAAAGGACATGAGTAAATAATTAATTGGAGAAGTGGTCAAAGAGAATTTGTTTTTTAAGGTCTTGGATTCAAGTAATTGTATAAGTATGATGTATACGTTGTCACAAAAATATAAATATACTACCTTATAATCATTTCAGATTATTAAAAAAATTAACCAAATGAAGAAACATGCTGAAATTCATGTCATATTAGAATAATAAGATAAAATATTTATAGATGAAAATAATGAAGGATTTAAATGGCAACATAATATTATTTCGAAAGCATAGACATTATATTGAGTGATTCCTTAAAGTACAAGGGACCACGGTGTTATTACTAAAAAATTAAACATTAAAAATGTAAGATTGATGTCAAAAATGTTGAGGCAGTCATCCAATAATCGGCCAGTACATTTATTTTTTATGTCAAAGTCTAAACGAATGAGTTAACTATCGTGGAAATGACAAAGAACATTCGCTTAGTTTGAAGGGTGGGAGTCCAGGCGCAAGGATTCCTTCTCGGTGCTTTCTTCTTATCTAATGATGGATTGGTTCGTGGTGGCTTAGGCCGAGATAGTTGCATTCCAATAAAATTAAATTTCATTTTAAAAGGATTATTCTTCTATCTCATTAAATTTATTTATTTTTTTAGATGAATATGCACATTATATTTCCCAAACACAAAACAAAACATACAGCCAGAGCAGAAAGGAACTGTATAAACAAGCCCCAACATAGAGAGCAGTGAAACCCAACAACCACCAAAAAATAATTACCCACTCAAACCAAGCCGAGTAGAGCACAGCAGCCGCCCCCAACCTGATTTTCATCCCACGCAACCTCAAACCAACCAACTCTCTCACCTGCCCCACTAAACAATTCACAGAGGCATCTACACCCCAAAAATGTCTCTGGTTCCTCTCCCTCCAAATACAAGCAATACAACAATTTCAAACCATTTTCAACAACAGAGAATTCAAAGACTTACTCTTGCACGAATGCCAAGCCCAACTTAACTCATGATTCAATCAAGCACACAACGCTGCCTGTCACATAACCTCAACACACTCTCAAACAGCTCTCGAGAAGCAACAAGCAAAAAATAAATGGTCCCTAGTTTCCCGCTCAGCCGAACAAAGCTCACAAACATCATCCACAACCATCCCGAACGAGATAAGTCTATTCTTGGTAGTAAGTCTAACGTAGCCATCCAAGCAATAACAGGAAACTTAGGAATATGGCCCGAATGCCACACAAGTTTATCCCAAGGGACTTTACCTCGAGTTTCTCTTACCACACTCCGGATCCCATGAGTGGAAGAAAAATTCGGACCAAGCAGCCTTTGAATATTGACAGCTTTCCCCTGAAGATTAAGCAAGCACATCCAAGCCCAGCTACAATTTTGCGAACAAGATAAATCCCAAAATGAGTTATTCTTAATGATATAAGCATGAACCCATGCAACCCACATTGAGCCATCTTTAAACAACACCTTCCTAATCAAGCCAACCATACAAGCCTGATTCCACACCTTTATATTCTTTAGCCTGAGACCTCCCTCATCTTTTGGAGACTGAATTTGGTACCAGCTAACCCTTACCCCTTTAACAGCCTTATCCTCGCCCTTCCAAAAAAGGTCGAGCAATACTGATTATTCCTCTTAATAACAACCCCATGAATCATCACTTGACTGCTCCATTAGTTCTCTATACTATGTATAATAGCCTAGATGAGCTAAACCTCCCAACATATGAAAGAACCTTATACTGCCAACCTTGCAACCTTGAGACAATTTTCTCAATCAAAGGGTCTCAATCTTTCACCGTGAGTCTCTTAGTAACTAAAGGAATGTCTAGATATCTAACAAGAAGTTTTCCACTCCTGATTATCGTGATCTCAAACACTTCCTGAAGAAAAGAAGCCTCAATTCCAGAAGAGAACAGCTTAGATTCCCCAGCATTCAGCTGTAACCCCGAGGATCTATGGAAAACCTTCAACACTTTCGAAAAACCTAAGATGGAATCAATGGTACCCTTAGAGAAAATGCTCGACCGCTCTATCTAGGAGTTTAGATAAAACATTCATGGTCATAACAAAAAGGTAGGAGGACGAACAATCCCTTTGCCTCACCCCTTTAGCTTCATTGAAGAAACCAACCAACCCGTCATTAAGAGAATCTGAGAATGACGCAGTGGTAACATACTCCCTAATCCAATCAATCATCACTGGAGGAGTTTCAAGAGCTTCAAGCACAAAAAAAACCCCAATCAGCTAAATCAAAGGCTTTCTGCAAGTCCAGCTTCAAAGCGCACGTAGGGGAGAAGGAAGTCTGATTATACCCCTTCATCAAATCCTAAGCCATTAGTGTATTATCAATAATACTTTTACTGGGATAAAAACACTTTGACTTCTCGAAATAACCTCAGGAAAGAAGCCCTGAATCGTAGCAATCAAGACCTGAGTAATACACTTGTACACCATATTACAACAGGAAATTGGCCTTAAGTTATACATGTGAGTTGGATTAATTTTCTTAGGGACCAGCACAAGAGTCGTAACATTGAAAGCAGGAAAGAACTGAGCATTTTCAAAGAAAAACAAGACAGCCCAGACCAAATCTTCCCCAACAATGTTTCAAGCTACTTTAAAAAAGTGGGAAGTGTAGCCATCAGACTCAAGAGCCTTATCAAAATCCTGGGCAAACATTGCGGCCTTAATTTCGTCACGAGAAATTCTTCTCACTATATAATGTTTAGCAACAACAGAAAAATGTAACACCCAAAATATCTTTAAGCAAAGCAATATCAACACTAGTAACAAAACAATCCCGCTTGCCCAACATATTACGAAAAAAGAAAATCATTCAATAAATAATGAATAGACTGCCTATTCTACTTAACAGCAACCATATAGTAGAATAAGTGGGTGTTTTGTTCACCATCCTGCACCTAACGAGCACGAGCCTTTTGCCTAAAAAAACTCTCTTACAGATCACAAAATATCTTGTATTCATTACTCACATCATTCTCTTGGCTTTGCAAATCTTTATCCAAAGGGTAAGCAATGATAACTAACTAAGTTTGCTCCAATTCAGTCTTCTTCTGCTGAACCTGCAACGAAATATGGCCGTACTTACTTACATTCAACTTCCTCAACTGAAGCTTAAGTCTCTTGAGTTTAATAAACAACCTCCTCATAGGATTATCAACATGAAAAGGTAAGCTCTAACTATCACCCACAATTCTAAGAAACTCAGAGTCCCTAGTCCAGAAAATAAAAAAAAAGGAAAGCTTAGGATGGGAATCTTTCCTTCTATCCATCCACACCATCCCTGGGCAATGATCAGACAAACCAAGCGCAAGAAATTCTACTTGAATACGAGGGAAAGTCACTATCCAAGAATCAAAGACCAATACCCTATCCAACTTTCTAGCAAGAAAAGTATTCTCCAACTTGTTAAACCAAGTCAAAATTGGTGCACGAAAGGAATAGTCCAATAACCCAACCGAATTAATGCACAGATTAAAATCATCAATATCCCAAGACAGGGCTTACCTATAAACTCATAATTTTCCTCCTGAAAAGCGACAACATTGAAGTCCCCTGCAGCCACCTAAGGAGAATCCCCAACTATTCCTTTAACATCCCCAAGATGTTGCCAAAGCCTCACCCTATCAGTCCCCAAATTAAACCCATAAACTGCTGAAACAAAGAAACTAACTAAACCAACATGAACCAAACACGTGATACACTGATTCGAGATAGCAATTTCAGCAACATCAATAGAAATGCTTAGTAAGAAACCAAATCCGACCAAGATCATAACAAGCATAATTGTGGAGGCGATTCCATCCCACAAAACACATGTCCCAGATAGCTTGCACATTACACTCCCTAACCATAGTCTCCAGCAGACACGCCACATCAATATCAAGATAACGAATTCTCTCTAACACACCCTTCTGTTTTAGGGGGCTGTTGAAACCTCTAACATTCCAAAAAAAATTCATGGTGCTACTGAGGAAAAAACTTCACCCTGTTTCTTCCCCCAATGATCATTTTTCTTGTTCTTATTTAGACATTGCATCAAAACAGCCACCCCCTTAGCAGCCTTACAACTCTGCCTAGTAGCACGGGAAGGATCAAACTGCTCCACAACTTGCTTCCCCTTATCAACAATAGCAGGCTTACCCACACCAGAAGAAACACCAGGTAGGCCCGAAGTCACACATTCAGGTGCTGGATCTCCAATCGGAACCTTCTCCTGCAAAGGCAAAACTACAACAGAAGCCCCCTAGTCTGAATCTCAATCATATGATCCACAAGTGACTATTCCTTAACAGATGACCCCGTAGCAACAGTCTGATCTTCCAAAACAGATGGAGATCCCAATGCATCACCAACAGCCACTGAAACACCTCTACCTGAATTTTCAACATCCTCAGAAACTGCAATCACCCCTTTCGGAACCCAAACTTTCTAACTTGATTTTAAAACCTTGCAAGCCTTCTTACTATAACCAATGACAATGAGAGCATCTAGAGGGAGTCCAATCCACAAACACCTCAATTGCAGCCATAAACCCATCATTCAACTGAACATTAAGAAACCGAGGAACTCTAAAACCAACCTCTATTTCAATACAAACATTGGCAAAAACAATCATATGCCTATGTGCAGTAAGGTCATCCATACACAAAGGGGTCCCTAAAGCACTCGCAATATAGCT